GCCAGATACTATATTTCCCCCCAAAAAGTATTGTATTATAGAGATGTGTTGTTGATTTTGTGATGAGATGGTATATATATATATATGTATTTTTTCTACTCGCAATCAAGAGTAGCTACATGCATAAACCTGAAAAGAAACATATTTAATCAATTCAGATTTACTGGTATTGCATTTTTCACAGTAAATATGATTTAAAGAAGAGTGCCTTACAAAAAAATAAGTTTTCATTTCATGCCGACTCAATTATAAAGTGGCTTCATCGTTTTTGTTAATCCATGCAACCAAAACTTTAAAGCCTCAAGCCTAAAAAGATGTTGTGAAAGCAAACGGCTTGATTCTTAAAATGTCTTTATGAATTTTGATGTGGGAGAGTTTTGCTTGTGTGAACTCTCACGTCAACAAGCTCATATAATCAATATCAACATTCTTGCTGCTGAACACAAATATATTTCACTGAGCATCTAACATTTGACTCTCAAAGCTAAAATACACGGTTTATCAAATGCTCGTCAGCTGCACACATACAGTGTGTCCAGCTTTGAAATCTAATGTTTTTTTCTTCTGCATGACTGGTCACTTTTATCTAATTGAGAACATGCTAACAATATATGACCATTTATTTATTCTTGTTTGTTGGGGAAGTGGTACACTTTATAATTGGTGTGAAATCAAAAAAGAGCTTCAGTTGTTTTCTCTTGATATTTTAAAGCTCGGTGAGCTTTATTAAAGTTTTTCAAAACAGAGGACACTCTGCAATGTTTTGTTTAGAGAATATTATGCATGTAATTTAAATGGAAATATAGGCCTACAATCTGTGTTAATTGTTTTAACTGTAAAATGTGGCATTTTGTTCCTGAATAAATCAATGACTGAAGACACTTGTCGCCACCTACTGGTGCAATGATGTAACCTGCGGAAGGAGTCACTGAAAACCACTTCCCACCCCTCATAACTGTATTATATCAAGGGTCACAACCATGGCACACAAAAAAACTGATAAGGTAGATTACAGTACATACGGCATATGCTTTCCTACTCGATATTTAACACATGAAGGACAGCTCACACGAAAACATCCTGCGCATGTTCAATCATACCAACCTGTCGCTGTTTAAAAAAAGTCATTTACATTTAGTCATTTAGCAGACTTTTTTATCCAAAGCGACTTACAAATGAGGACAATAAAAGCAGTCAAAACTAACAAAAGAGCAACAATATATAAGTGCAAATGACAAGTCTCGGTTAGCCTAACGCAGTGTAGGAAGGTATATATATATATATATATATAGATATATTATACACACACACACACACACACAAAGAAAAACAAGTAGATGGAATAGAAAAAATAGAAAGCTAGTGTTTTTTTTGTTTGTTTTTTTTAATAAAAAAGAAGATAAATAGATCAATTAAAATAGAATAGAAAGTGCTAGAGTTAGAGGGTCAAATAAAGGTGGAACAGATGTGTTTTTAGTCGTTTCTTGAAGATGGTTAAGGACTCAGCTGCTCGGACTGATTTGGGCAGGTCATTCCACCAGGAGGGAACAGTTAATGAAAAAGTCAGTGGAAGTGATTTTGTGCCTCTTTTAGATGGCACAATAATATGCTGTTCACTTGAAGAACGCAAGCTTCTAGAGGGCACATAACTCTGAAGTAATGAATTTAGGTAAATGGGTGCAGAGCCAGTGGTGGTTTTGTAGGCAAACATTAATGCCTTGAATTTAATGCGAGCAGCTACTGGTAGCCAGTGCAAACTGATGAACAGAGGTGTGACATGCGTTCTTTTCTGCTCATTAAAGATTAATCTTGCAGCTGCATAGTGGATTAATTGTAGAGGTTTGATAGAAGTGGCTGGAAGACCTGCTAAGAGAGCATTGCAATAGTCCAGCCTGGATAGAAAAAGAGCTTGAACAAGGAGTTGTGTAGCATGTTCTGAAAGAAAGGACCTGATCTTCCTAATGTTGTATAAAGCAAATCTGCAGGACCGGGCAGTTTTAGCAATGTGGTCTGAGAAATTCAAAGCAGCAGACAGATCCAGCAAGATAAGTATAGAAGATTAGGAAGCCGCTCTTGCCAGTCTTAGGGCTTCACCAACTGAAAGCAAGGCAGTCTCGGTCGAATGTCCACTTCTGAAACCAGATTGGTTGCTGTCCAGGAGGTTGTTCTGTGTGAGAAAGGCTGAGACTTGGTTGAACACAACTCATTTAAGTGTTTTTGCAATGAAAGGTAGAAGGGAAAACTGGTCTGTAGTTCTCTAAAAGAGTTGGGTTAAGAGTGGGTTTCTTAAGAAGTGGGGTTATACGAGCCTGTTTAAATGTTGAGGGAAAAACACCAGTGTGAAGGGATGTGTTAACGATGTGAGTGAGTGCAGGTACAACGGCAGGAGAAATGGCTTGAAGCAGATAAGATGGAATAGGATCAAGCGGACAAGTAGTAGGATGATTGGAAAGGATGAGTTTAGAGACTTCTGCCTCAGAGAGTGGAGAGAAGGATGAAAACGAGTGTATGTTTGCTGGTAAGATGTGTTTGACAGTTTGTGGAGTGGCAAATTGTGCACTGAGATTTGTAATTTTATTAATGAAGAATGTGGCAAAGTTGTCAGCTATTAGAGTTGATGAAGAAGGGGGAGGAGAATAAAGGAGGGAGGAAAATGTTTTAAAGAGCATGCGAGAGTTAGGCGAATTGTTAATTTTGTTGTGATTTTGCAGTGGAGGCATTAGCAGAGAACGAAGAGAGGAGTGATCGATATTCATTTAGGTCAGTCTCGCATTTTTTAACCAAACCATGCAGGTTTTTTTTTTTAGTTCAGAAAGGCATTCTTTTTCAAAGCTTGAATAAATGGAAAGATCTGAAAGATGTTGTTGTGGTTCTAAATTGGGCGCTAAGCACGTCACTTCCTCGTTCTCGCGTCATCATGACGTCAGTTCCTTGCTCTGAACTTCAGCATAGATCACTGCTGTTTATCAGTCCTGCTGCCCTACAGCTCATTTCCAGAAGCTTGCTAAAGCTCTTAAACACACAGAAACAGATATTCAAGTGACTCTTGGCAAAAATTAGGTTAAAGGGAAAATTAAAGAATTCATAAACAAAAAATGGCAAGAAATATGGATCTGTGATAGCAAGGGCAGATAAATGTATAATATTCAGCAGCATAGGAAACGGAAGAAGTGTTTTTAGGAATAGGAAAGAAGATAGAATTATTTCTCACATCCAAATAGGGCATACTAGATTAAATCACTCTCTGTTTAATATAGGAAAACATGAAACAGGTCAATGTATTTTTTGTAATCAAGCAGAAACAATAGAGCATGTTTTAATAAAATGTAAAAAATATATATATATGAAAAAGAAAGGTTAAAACTCATTAAGGAAGTAAGAAGCATGGGTGGTGGATCATTTAATTTGTCAAGGCTTTTGAAAGAGCATGCAGAACAAGGTAAAATATATGGTGCCATTATAAAATACATTAAAGAAATAGGATTAATCAGGAGAATTGAGTTTTTTTTAAATGTATGTATATATATATATATATATTAGTTGCTTATTAGTGCTTCACACTCCAGTCCAGTTGGTGGCGGTGAATGCACTAGAAGTTGGTTTGCTATCCGCCATAACACGTTATTAGAAGAAGAAGAAGCTCCTTTCCAGCTATTTCCTAGAAATACCTGCGATCCACTCGCGACATCTGGTAATGGTGTTGTTGACTGTGTATTCTCGGCTTGTTGTATTGTGTGATTATGTCTGTAGTGTGTATATGTTATTATTCCCTCTCTGTGCATGTTCAGTTCTCTAGCACAGCATGGCAGTGGACTGGCTGGGCTTTGCCTATGCTGCAGCTCTAGCTCTGGGCGGATTCATGGGCTATAAAAGAAGAGGTATTTCTTAATTGTGCTGTTGTTTTTATGCATATTATTATTATTATTTTTTTTTAAATCTAACTCCTAATAGGTTTCTAAATCTAAAATGTATGTCAGTTTTCATGGTTCTAATAGAGTTTTAAGCATTATGCACCATTTTTATTTGTATTGGAATATAATTGCAAAGCTGCAATCTCTATCCATCCCATAACATCCCTGTACTTTATTGTAAGGGATTGGTGGAGATATTTAATTTAATAACTTGACTTCTGCAGGAAGTGTGGTGTCGTTAATCGCCGGACTCTTCTTTGGAAGCGTGTCTGCATATGGAGCATATAAAATAACAAATGATCCGCACGATTACTGGACCTCTCTAAGTAAGTATAAGAATACAATCACTAATGTCGACCATTCAGAAATACTCTGCATATATCCTTCCCTTTCCCCATGACTTTTTCCGCACTAGCCGCCGCCGGTGTACTGACACTTGTGATGGGAATGAGATTCAGGAAATCTGGAAAATTAATGCCTGCGGGAATCATGGCGGGACTGAGGTAAATCTCTGAAGTTTGTGTAATGAAAATGTCCGGTGTTTATACAATCACAGTTGAAAAATATATAAATTCTTGTGTTAGGAAGCTATTTTGAAGAATGTGGGTGACCGAACAGTTGCTGGTCCCCATTGACTTCAATAGTAAGAAAAACAAATACAGTGGCATTTGAGTAAATGATGCCAGTGTTCATTTGAGGGTGACTTCCAGAAGTCATGTTTTCACACACTAACACTAGGAAGAATTATTTTTTTTATATGCTCCAATAGATCAATATTATAGCTACAGCAAATGCATGTTACGTCACACTGACAGGTGCAGATGTGTCAGAGCACCGAGAGCTGGTTCGGTGTAAATGCTCAATCAGACGGTCTTCTGTTTTCAGCCTCCTGATGGTTTTGCGGCTTTTGATCTTCTAAGTGCTCGTGGACGGACCACACTGGGACCTTTCTCACGACATCTGCTGTGTTCACGGCACAGTATTATCTCTTCGTAATCACCGAGTTGTATCTTGAACATTCCAAATAAATCTGTTGGTTTTAGAGTCTCGGCTTTAATCTTGTAACAAAAAGGAAGCTTGCAAATTAATTAAATCGATCTAACGGTTTTGAATTCATTGGGCCTCCTGCTTAAAAAGGTGGCTCAACACCGCCATCACGGTTTTCACATACACCTCATCGGGTGGAGGTTTTCTTGCACTGCCAGGCTGGAGAAACTTGCTGATCGTTGGTAAGGCCTTTATTTTCTCTTGAGACGCCTGCAAAACAAATGAAAGGTTATACAGTGCTTGAAGAAGGGCATGCATTGTTATCAGATAAATTACCTTTATCTTCATTAAAACTGGACCAGAGTACTCTCTATTACTGTATATCTGACAACCAGTAGTGCTTTTTATTTTTATCAAATACATTAATTTGTATGGCCAGTGAAACTTGACATAATTCTGGCTGTTTAAGAATGCTCTTGTAATACAATGCAACTCTAAAACATCAACACTACTTCAGTCTGTGTGCATTGAATTTATTTAATACACGAGTTTCACAATTTGAGTTGAATTACTGAAATAAATGAACTTTTCCACGACATTCTAATTTATTGAGATGCACCTGTACATACGGTCATAAAACAACACGATTAGGAATTTAGTGATTAGTTAACATACCATTGAGCAGTTTTTCATACTCCTCCCGTTTGGTCAAAAACACTTCCTCAAACTGTAAAGACACATTCACAAGTCATCTGTCATGCATACTACTTGCAACTGTTTTTATTAAATATGCATGTAGCGTAAATTCCATTTAATCGCAAACTTCTCGAGACTTCACGCAACAAACCTGGACTCCAGCTGCAGCCAAAAGCCACCGGATCGACTCCATTTTTCCTCTTCCATTGAAGTAACGCAACACAACTTTCTCGGACATTTTCACGAAATAAAGCGACACTTCAAACCTTTTTTTGTTTTGCTGCAAAAGACTGCAGCATCAGGGGTTTATGCTGAAGATGTCGCGCGGCTCGTGGTGCTGCTGAAGTCCAAATGCAGACTTGAGGAAAACACAGTCGTAACTATATCAAATATCAAATATCACATCTGCTCCTGCTTCTTCTTCTTGTTTTATGGCGGGTGGCATCCAACGTTAAGGTGCATTACCGCCACCTACTATAGAAAATGAAAAACAACAACAACACACTTATTAATAATAAAAATAACAATTATACTTTATATTCTATTTATTAACCCAGTTTTGGATTGTCAATCCAAAGCGTTACATACATTTGAAAAATAAAATACAAATATGAAAAACTTTCGAGGGTTTATGATGCTGGTGACCGTTAAACGCGTCATCACAGTCTTTGCGAAAAGGAGCAGCAAAGCATTGTGGGAAATACCAACTGTTTTAGTTTCAAAAGAGTATAATAAACGAATAAATACACCGTTTTGTATTCGTGTCGTGTTACATACATCTATATTTGATCGCGCAAGTATCGCGTACGTTGAAAGCAGTGACCTGATATGAGGTTACCGTCGACGAGAAACCAGGCTCGCGTCGGAGGTATATATACCGCGCGAGCGGGCCTGTGTTGTCGGATGTGAGGGCGATCTGGCTGCGACATCTGTCACCCCATTGATCGCTAGGGTTGATTCGGCTGATCTGGCTGGCTAGGCGGGTGTCCCCTTCCTCCCTCACCGGTCCATGTGTGTCCCTCCCGAAGCTCCGCGCTCGGTGGAAGAGGACGAGCTCCCCGGCGGACGATCGTTGGTATAGAAGTAGCTGCGCTCCCCTGCTAGAACCTCCAAACAAGCTCAAGGCCCATTTGTAGGAGAAACGTAGGGAAGTCGAGCTCCAAGACTTCAAACACATCCAAATGAGGCACTGCATGTGGCAGTCTGCCTTTCTTTTGACAATCAATGTGCAGTTTAATTATCACCGTGTCCTAACTACACGCGACGCGACATTTCTAATTTAGACATGACAGTAGATAATCTCAGTTGATTATGCGCTCTATTCAAAGTTAAACATGTTTAATATGAGTTTAAATATCTTATAGCCAAACTGAAAGCAATGATAGTTTACCTCAAATCTTGAAAATAAATTAAAGGGGTCATATGAATGCGATTTCAATGTTTCCTTTCTCTTTGGAGTGTTACAAGCTCTTGGTGCATAAAGAAGATCTGTAAAGTTGCAAAGACTAAAGTCTCAAATCCAAAGAGATATTCTTTATAAAAGTTAAGAGTCAGCCACACCTACCTAAAACGGCTCGTTCTAACACGCCCCCACATATCTGCCTCACTCTGTGGGAAGATTTGCATAACGCCACCCAAATGTTCACACAAAGAAGGCGTAACTTTTATTCTCGCTGTAGTATTGTTGTTGCCGCCGCCATGTCGTGAAGACGCTGTGTGTTTCGTTGTGAAAGTGAAACTACTTTGTTTGGTCTTCCAAAAGAGGATGATATCCGCTTCGTCATGCCTGGAGCTGATCCGTGCTGGTCGCTGAGGAAATACTACAACTTCGCTGTGGATCGCCGGATCGGTTTTCACCGTGGACGAAGCGGAGTCCAGCCCGGGGTCGTCACATGTGGTTACTACAAGCATCACAGTATGGTGAGGGGCGTAACATCTCCGTCACACGCTTGAGGTATTCGGCCAATCACAACGCACCGGATAGCTGGCCAATCACAGCACACCTCGCTTTTCAGACCGATGAGCTTTGTAAACATCAAATTGCCAAATTGCTTGTCGCTGGAATCTTGTCGCGTCGCGTGTGGTTAGCACAGTAAATATATTGTAATCTATTCACTGTAATAACTGAGAAATAGAAAAAGAAACTTTAGAGTCATTGTGCCTGTCATCAAAACTTCTGTTTGTAATTGATATTCGCGTTTGTGTTGCTATCTTTTTTTTTTGTGCCAGTGTTACAAGGATCAGAATAAAATTGGCACAGGTTTATATCAAAGTATTCAAGTAGTTTATTTCCTAAGTTACATTATACTTAATAAATGTATATGGTCAGTTGTCAGTCTGACTATCTACCTGTACATGTTTAATAACAAAATAAAAATGCAGTTATACAAATAGATTTTGCATTTATTACATTTACATCGAGTCATTCAGCAGACACTTTTATCCAAAGCGACTTACAAACGAAGACAATAGAAGCGATCAAAATCAACACAAGAGCAATGATACACAAGTGCTATAACGAATCTCAGTTAGCTTAACGCGGTACACGTAGCAAGGGTTTTTTAAATATTATAATAAATGAAAAGAAACCAGATAGAATACAAAAAGAGAACCAATGAAGGCATTACAAGGAATAGCATATGCAGAAGCAGTAAAGAAAGTGTCTAGAGAAACGATTGTTTATAAACCAGCAAACAATGAAACTAAAGCTAGACCTTGCAGGAGCTGTGAAAAGATTATGGGGAAAAAAGACGTGCTAATTATGAGCAAAAATGAATTTGTATTGTTCGTGATTGAGGTGATCAATTGCTCGGCACAGACAGAAAGGAAGACTGGAAAGATCAAAATAATAGTTAAAGCAGCAGAGAAATATCTTGGGGTTAAAGGACTTAATTGTGAAGTAGTGGAAGAAATGTTAACTGCAGGAATCTCTAACTCTCAGTCATGGGTTGGTGGATCTACATGATTCTAGTTTTATTGCAGTGGAATGCCAGGAGTCTTATCGCTAATGGACAAGAATTCAAAAATTTGTTTCTGAGTTATCAGATAAACCTCATGTAATTTGTGTACAGGAGACATGGTTGAAACCAGTTAGACTTTGTGATATCTGGATATACTGCAATCCGAAATGATAGGGAAATAGGAAAAGGTGGAGGGGTGGCAACTTTTATAAGAAATGGGATAAGATATAATCTTATCAATAAAGGAAAATAACATGAATCTATTATAATCAAAGTATGGACAGGAAGGAAAAATATAATGATAGTACATTTTTATAATCCATGTAACAGACTGAGCATGGATATACTAAATGCAGTATGTAAGATTATACAAGGGGAAATCGTATGGTGTGGGGGTTTTAATGCACACAGTACACTATGGGGGAGTAGGATTACAGATGCAAATGGATCAATAATAGAAGAATTTATAGATAATAAAAATCTGGTATGTATTAATGACGGAAAGGGCACAAGGTATAGTAGCACACATAACACCGAAAGTGTTATTGACTTGACAATAATATCAAATGAAATTGCAGGAATCAGCACATGGGAGGTTTTAAACCAATCAACAGTAGGCAGTGATCATTATCCAATAATAACTAGGATTGGAGTAGAGATATATCAGGATAATGAAATCAGAACACCAAGGTGGAAGTTAGATCAAGCTGATTGGCAGTCATTTCAAATGCTGAGCGAAGTTAAGTGTGTAGAAATGCTGAATAAAAATATAACAGAAGTGGAAGAAATGAATGAAAATGTGGTTGCAGCCATTATAGAAGCAGTGGAAAAAAACTATTCCTAAAAATGCAGGAAGTAAACGGAAAAAGTGTGTGCAAGTGTGGATGAGAACTGTAGCGTGGTAATTAAGAAAAGGAATAAAATGTTTAAACTGCTTAAAGCCCACCATACATTGGAAACTCTGATTAACTATAAAAGGGCGCAAGCAGTAGTTAGGAAAACAATTAGGTCAGCCAAACGTGTATATTGGAGACAATTCTGTAATACAATTGGAAGAGAAACTCAGCTGTCAGACATATGGAGAACAATTAGGAAAATGAGTGGAATAAGGACAAGTGTGGAAATACCAGTGTTATGTAGTAACAACAAAAATGCAATTAGTAATGCAGATCTTTTTGTAAAAACTTTTGTGAAGATCCACAGCTCTGGAAATCTATCGTCAGCAGTTAAGGAGTATAGAGACCAGACACTTGCTCAAAGTCCAGGGATAACAGAGAGAAGCATTGAGTCAGGGGGAGATCTGGATCAGCAATTTACTCTATCTGAGTTGGAAAGAGCTATATCAAACACGCGACAAACCACACCAGGGAAAGACGGTATATGCTATTGCATGTTAGGCCATATGAAAGATGTCACACTTGAAATGATATTAAGACTGTTTAATATGATATGGAAGGCAGGTAAACTCCTATTAATATGGAAACAAGAAGTTATAATCCCAATACTTAAACCTGGCAAAGATCCATCTAGCTATAGACCCATAGCATTAACGTCACAATTAGGGAAAACCATAGAAAGGATGGTAACAAGTAGATTAGATTATTATATTGAAAAAATGGTCTTATATCACCACATCAATCTGGATTTCGTAAGGGAAGGGGGACAACGGACTCTGTGCTATGCCTAGAGTCAGTAAAAAGGAAAGATCAAAGTAATAAAGAAAATGTAATTGCTGTATTTATTGATATTGAAAAGGCATACGATATGTACATGAGATTTTCTTTTCTTTTTTAAATAGATTTGCTAAGATTTCAAACAAACTTATTTTACATTGTCATTATGTGGTATTGTTAGTAGAATTTTGAGGAAAATAATGAATTTAATCCATTTTGGAATAAGGCTGTAACATAAAATGTGGAAAAAATGAAGCGCTGTGAATACTTTCCAGATGCACTGTATTTTAAATTCTAATATTTCGCAATTACTGATTTTACTTTATTTTTGATCAAATAATTGCAGCCTTGTTGAGCAGAAGAGACTTTTTTCAAAAATGTTTAAAAAAAAAATCTTAATTATAACAAACTTTTGACCAGTACTGTATATATATAGAAAGAGAGAGACCGTTATTTATGAAATATTGTAATCAGATTTTGTAATTTTGAGCATTTTTTTTCTGTACAACGACACCAATATTTGACATCACTTCCACTGTACGTGTGTTGAGTGAACGTAATTTTGGGTATGTCAAATTCAGGTGGAAATCCAAAACATGCACCAAAGGTTAATAAATGTTTTACCATGAATTACACCAATTCCTTACTGAAATTAAGCAAACATTTATTCCCTTAAAAAGAATCACTGTATCACCAGCATGGCATAGTGGTGGTAAAACTATGGTACTGTAATATATATTATGCTACTGAATGATTAACATATTTATATACCTTTAT